GCGTCTTGGTATCAGAACGATATTCTTTTATTGATGTTAAATTGATTGCACCATGCTAAGGCGATAATTTGAACGGTGATTTAGAGCAAGGAATTATTTTGGCAAGTGGTGTCAATGATGTGACTTGTGTGTTACGATTCGAACTGATTAATATCGACGCGAAGAAATTTATCTTAATGGAGAAAGAAGGTTCGACGAGACCGCGAAGTGCTTTCATGGAAGTGTGTTTCTGATAATGGCTTACCTTGGTATCAGAGCACCCCAACACGTGCCCGTTCGTGCTATTCTGTTCGTTTTTGATACTCATTTCTGCGTATTTTATGGTACCTTTGCAAACGTCACGACGTCCCTTTATTTCTTCCCTATTTTTCTCCTCTTCTTCCTTCACACTGGAACTACCGATCTCCAATGGGTACCTAAACATAGCGTTATATATAATATAGACAATTACTGTTTTATCTCGACATGAATCAGCGCCAATTTTATTGGTCGAAAATATCAATAACATTCTTCGAACAAGATCTATCCAAAATGTTCATTCTACTATAAAGTTTGATTAAAAATATCAGAAATCCTACATTTCAGATCCAATTCTACAAAATTTTTGATGGCTCCGAAAATATCGATAACATTTTTCGAATAAAATTTATCCAAAATTTCACTCTGCTATAAAATTTGACTAAAAATATCAAGAACTCTATATTTTAGATCCATCCTACAAAATTTTGGATGCCTCTGAAAATATTGATAACATTTTTCAAATAAAATCTGTCCAAAATTTCACTCTGCTGTAAAGTTTGACTAAAAACTACATCTATTTTTATTAATTGCAAAGTGAAAAATCCCGAGCCCAATCATCTCGACTGATTTGGTAATTCTAATTAATTTTCCACTTTAAATTCGTATTTTAGTAATTAATCTGCGATACTCGCTTATTAATTGAATCCTCCTCTGCCGATAAAGCAACGCGAAAATATTCCGCAAATTCTGGTCGAATCGCGTAGAAATAACCTCGAAAAGCAATTTACCTGAGAATCTCTGCCAACAGGTTGTATCAGTCGAGCTACAGGACGCTCAGTGCTCCATCATCGTCAGACTCTGTGAACTCTACCCACAAATAGAGATCCCACATTCCTAGAAAGAGTGAATCAACCAGAAGTCCCCGCAGTGAAGCAGCAAGACATTTTTCCACAGCAAGCAGTTATGCAGTCTCCAATTAGAGAAATTTTTGTCCTCGGCCTCCTCCAACGCTTCCCATAAATTCATTTCCCCTCCGTGTCTAGGGAACACTTTGTCAGATCTCGAACAGACACCAACGAGAACTCCAATTACACTCGAAATCCTCGCTCTCTCGATCTTGCCCGACGATCACGATCTCTTTCCCGCGTTATCCTGCTTCTCCTTCCTCCTCGCCCTTTCTCACCCCGCGAAGTCACTCTCCTGGACCAGGTTCGTCACTCGAATAACTTCATAACGAGATAGACTAGCTGGCTCCTCGAGCGATTCCTCTCACCACACCCACTCGACGTGTCTCAGTTTCCTGATATTCTTCTAGGTTATATATCGGTCCACACCTTTGGCCACGCGATTCTCGGCTCTTCTTTCACCTCTGACCGCGAGAATCCAGGTCTTCCTACGACCCCAAGAGGTCCAAACGGGTCTCTCCCTCGAGCTCTCGGCTTCGTAAATCGCGAAGGGTGCACGTGCAGGAGAGTCTGGTGCCGGGTTGGAGTCGGGCTGGTGGCACAACGCTCGATGGTGTTGCAGTTGCAGCCGAGAGGACAGCCACGCAAAGACTCGTTATTCACTGAATGCAGGTCCGGTTTTATCTGCTGCCAGCGGGACCGACGTTTCTTCCTTCACGATCGTCGTGGACCATTCACATCCGTGGCGGGTCGCGATATTCCGCGTTTGCTGACACGCGATCGCTGAAACGTATGTGGCACCCGCGAATTCCCACTGATAAAGGAACCGATTGCGTAAGCTGATCCAATCGCACGCAGCGTATCGCGCGGATCGGCCAAGACGTCACCCAATGACGCGTCGCGAACGCAAAGACCTCTGGGTGCTGCGACGGGCTTTTCCTGTCTTTCGGTACACGATTGGTAATTAGGAATATTCGGAATATTCGAAGCTGAGGAGATCAGGTTTCGAGTCAACGCGCGGGAATATAGAAGAGCTACCGTTTGCTTGAGTATCTTGGTTTATATGTACCTGGCAAAGATTCGAGGAAAAACGCGAATATATGGAAAAATTAAATACATTCTTTCTAGTAGTTTTTGCAAGGTTGGTAATAAGTTGAATGAAGTATGATGAGCGGTGGTTTAAGTATTTTTGGATAATACGATGTCGAATGAGGTATTTATATGTATTGTTTTGCATATGAAAAGATAACCAATTATCGGAATTATCTCTCTTCAGTGGCTCTCAAACTTGTGCTTTGCGTATCATCCAGTATATGATCGAGTCGCGTGTATACCGCTTTGTAGGTGGCGTTTATTTAGTGCCGAGATCTTGGAACTCAGACCTCAAACCTCACAACTCAAAACTCAAATCTCAGATCTTGAACTCAAATTTCAGACCTCGGAACTCAGATTTCAGATCTCTGATCTCGAACTCATATCTTAGATCTCGAAGTTTAAATTTCAAAACTCAAAGCTCAGATCTCAGACCTCGGATCTTAAATCTCAGACCTCTGAACTCAGATCTCAGACTTCGGAACTCAAAGCTGAGATCTCAGATCTCGGAACACGAATCTCAGACCTCAGAACTCAGATCTCAGACTTCGGAACTCAAATCTGAGATCTCAGATCTCGGAACTTAAATCTCAGACCTCTGAATTCAGATCTCAGACCTCTGAACTCAGACTTCAGTCTTCGGAACTCAAAACTCAGATCTCAGACCTCGGACCTCAAATCTCAGACCTTGGAACTCAGATCTCAGACCTTAGAACTCAAATCTCTGATTTCGAAAGTCATACCTCGAATCTCGAAACTCAGATCTCAGACCACAAACCTCGCAACTCAAAACTCAGATATCAGACCTCGGAACTCAAATCTCAGACCTTGGAACTCATATCTCAGACTTCGGATCTCAGATTTCAGACCTTGGAACTCACAACTGAAAACTCAGATCTCAAACGTTAGACCTCAGAACTCCGAGAACGGAATAGACAATAAACGATAACTAAGACAATAAAATTTAACGATTCTGAGACACGGAAGAGTTTGAAAAGCGGAAGCAAACGTGGCCGTCGACGACAGATTATCGCACTTAATCGGACATAGTCCTTGGATCGGTGTCATAAGTCAGACTGCTCGTTGTCGACAGCTTTTCGTGGATCATAAAACGGATTAAAATGATCGACGCGTTAATCATCCTTTGAATCATATCTTTTCTTACATCTTGCAAGAGGATCTTGCATCTGCACAAGAGAATTAATCTGCCTCGGCGACGACGAGCGAATTTCATGATTCACGCTACAATGCTACATTTTTACGCAAGTATAATTGCGATTCGTTCTTCCACGGACCAGAAAATGGTTGAAATTTCGGAAACTTTTTCCCGTCCAATTAATTCTGTAAATTCGTTTTCCTTTGCCGGCGATTAAGAGCTACGCGAATGTCAACGAACCTGGTTCCAGCGAACAGAAGCATGTAGATTGGCGCTAACAAGAGTTCAATTAAACTTAATTGCGTTGGTAAACAAATAGCACGGAATGCCACGAGGCACAAATTGGATAATTCGTCAACAAATGCGCGTCGAATGGCTCGTTCGATACTTCACACTTATTTTCCTTCCATTACTCGAGAAACTTGCAAGATCTCTCGTGTCTCTACCGATCCTCCCAGACAATTCGATATTTCGATACATTTAATATCCATTTTCCAACCTTCTCGTCAAAATTCTTTTAAAGAGAATACGCTGTACGAAATACCGATACATCTACCACATAACAGATTGCTTCTTCCAATCTTTCATTCATCGAAATATGTGCATTCCTGAATTTTCTCCCTTAAAAGAAGAAATCGAAGTTTGTAAAAGTGCACGTATTTATTACCCTCCTTTTTATTAATATTATAGCTCAAATAATTAAATTAACATCAATTATGTGTACACTTAACGATATTCAGGATTATTGATATATTAATTGATTTAATAATTTCATGGATTAAATTCAATCTACTCTTTTCAATTCTAATTTTCTATTCCTTGCAATCTATTTAATTCTAACTCGCGATTGCAATTATAGGTAAATTTTTGTATTCAAATTTTCTAAAATTCTAAATTAAATTTTCTAACTCTATAGTTTTCTAAAATTTTAGAAAATAGACGCTAAAATTAATTACTGCGTCGATACGTCATTTTTCACATTTAAATCATAGCGTAATAATTTTTTCCAAATTATTCTGATAACGAAGGATCCATACTTGTTCATTCCGACATTCCCGGAAATCATGTAACAGAAATCTTCTCGAAATCTTCTTATTTCGTGACACTCGTTCTGTTCGCGACCCTGTTTCGCACATCTCCGTACATTTTCCTCCCCATTTCCACGCGACGACCACTGGTCACGGTAAAAATGGCCGGCGTTACCTAACGCCGCGACTCTCTTCTTCGGCGAGTTCTCCGATTCCGTAACGGAGCGAAAGTAAAGGCAAGCCTTACGTTCGCTATGACGGCCGAACAATTATCGTTCCACCTGTGCGGTTGGATTTCATCTCCCGAAACACGTTCTCGTTTCAAGGCCAAGGACACAGGCAAGTAGTAGAGGGAGGTCAGTGTTCGCCGCTGTCGATCTTCCTCCGCGTCAGCATGCTCCGCTTTTGACAGGAAATCGAAAAATAAGACGCCAGGTTTCTAACTACTTCGCTGCGTCCGCTAATATCCTCTCGTGTTTCGCACGTGAACCTTTATGGAGGATCGTGGATTTTTTCCACCAATCGTGGCACCAGCACACGACTCGCTGTAGCTTTTCATTTGTGGGTGCAATGCTAATTTTCTTGGTTCGCGTGAGATGGTATGGAATTTTCTTTTCTTATTGGAAGGTAGCGAAATGTTCTTTAATTTGGACAGGCAGATTGTGGGATTTTTGTCGTTCCTGAGGGGAAATATAGAATTTTCTTCGTTTTTGTGGAGGATAATACCGAATTATTTGTACACAGCAAGGATAAAGAGGAATTTCTTTTTCTTGTGAGTAGAGGTGCAGAATTTTCTTTGCTTGAAAAGGAAAGGATGGAATTTCTTTTATTCCTGAAGGATAATATAGAATTTTGCTTGCAAAGGATGATGTAGAATTTTCATTGAAATGTTCTTTAATTCGGACAGACAGAGTGTAGGATTTTTGTCGTTCCTGAGGGGAAACGTGGAATTTTCTTCACTTTCGTGGAGAATAATGCTGAATTATTTGTGCACAGGAAGGATAAGGAGGAATTTCTTTTTCTTCTAAGTAGAAGTGCAGAATTTTCTTTGCTTGAAAAGGAAAGAATGGAATTTCTTTTATTCCTGAAGGATAATATAGAATTTTGCTTGCGAAGGATGATGTAGAATTTTCAGTGCTTAAAAGGGATAATATGGAATTTTCTTTTTTCTTAAAGACCAATCCACAATTTTCTTTGCTCACTAAGAAAAGGACAGAATATTCTCTGCCTCTCTATTACAGTCAAAATTTTCTTTTCTTATAAATCAGAAAATTAGACATACTTCTGGTTTCAATTTGATAGCCACAGGCCAGCAACTGCTACAGGTGCATTTCTCTGCATTACTTTAATGATATGGTAATGCAATAATATGATAGCTCAATAATGAAGCGATTTCTCACTAATAAATCCGTTTGCCTTCCAAGTGCCTGCGTTCGCAATAATTTTCATGGAAAATGAACGCACACCCTTCTCGACGAATAATCGGAAATTTTTAGAAGCGTCAGGAATCCCGTTCGTCGAACTTCGACTTTATTTTTCTACGTTTCTAATTCTCTAGAAGAGGACAAAGCGGAACGGTAATAATACACCTGTGTGTCCTTGGCATTTTTGCACGCACATCGATTTTAACTATAGATGTTGGTAATCAAATCGTATCTCGAAACTTAACACGTGCAGCTGATCGTTTGTTCGTAGTTAAATTTGTACGAGAATTCGTTCAACAATCGAATAAATGTCTGAATAAATACACCTCCAAAAATTAATTTTTCCCGGTTGACAAAATAATTCCTTGCGTAATCAAATTGCAGAATTTGCGAAAAATATTCGACGCACGAATGGAAAGTGGCATAAAAATTATGATAAAGGAATCTCAGAAAGTCTTACTTAAAAATGTTTATACAGAATTTATATAATATTTCCCATTTAATGATACTAAATTTCTCTATGCATTCTGGTAAATTTTCAATAAAATATTGTTTACATAAAAATTTCGCTTACTATATATTTTTAATTTTAATAATTATTTTCATTTCTCTTGAGTGTTTTAAATTGTTTTAATTTATTTCCTATTTCTTTTATGGTGTTTTAATTTATTTTTCGTCAAAATCCAAAGTATTTTGTTAATATACATCTCGATGTACATGTGTATTCTTAACCCAATGTTTTCGTATTTCGTAAATTCGCGCTGTAGTTAGCTGAAGATGTTCGACGGTGATCAGTGCTATCTAGCTAGGCATGAATCTCAACTAAAAATCGAGATTCGTTGAAATCCACGAGTAATGTCACAGAGAAAGAAAGACGCTGATTAGTGAAGGATAGAAAATGAGACGTTTACCAACTGGCATTATAAATTTCTAATACTTGGCAGCAAATAAAATTGCTAATGAAAGTTAAGAAATTTCTCGCTTTCTTTGTGTAATTTATAAATTTTTGGAGCTACATCGTGAAGATAAAGAATCTGACAATCTTCGAGTGTAATTTTTAACTCAAATTTCCGTTCAATTAGTTAGTTGTTAATTATTTGCAA